GCAGCAGGTCAGAGCTAGTCTCAGCTTGCTTTCCACGACGTTTATGGCAGGCAAGCGATTTCTGACAAGTACATGGGAAATCGAAGCCACGTCTCCCTACAGGGCTGGAAAAAGTGACAGCGCCATCCACTGGTGTGGCGTGGCAGACTGGCGGAGGACGAGCCCGAAGGAAGTCGGGTTTGTGGACGATATCCATCTCGTAGCCTTCGCCTTCGCCACAGCTCTGGGCTCATTTTGCCGTGAGGTAGTAGGCCCGTGAATCCTGCACGAACGCACCGACGCATGCACACCGAGTCCTTGCTTCCGGCGGGTCGTTGCCAGCCGCGGGTCTTGTTACGGCGGCTGTTGGGTGCCCATTGTGATGATCCGCGTCCTAATACTCGAGCGAGGAAAGGGAAGAGCCTGGGCAAGCAGACCATGTGCAGGATAAGGTTCAACTTGGCTGCCTGCTGATACTCGTTGTGGCATTCCGCAATCGGGAGGCGCGACGGCGCTGCTCCGTGCCGTTACGGGTGTCCGAGCGGTGCGATGGGCGATGGCGATTATCATGCCTTAGGTCATTTGAGGTATAGTAGGAGTGATGGTGAAAGAGGCGCGAGTCGCGCAGCGTCAGCGGTCGAGGGTTGAGACGAAATTGATTTTCGAAAGCCACTACTTCTGTGTCAGTCGATAGCACATCGATTGGTAGGCGAAGAGAGTCAGGAACGTGGAGAGTTGGATGTGGCTTGCGCTCGCACACGTTTTCCCCCTTCTGAGACTCGTCCCTCGCGTGGACTTGTCGCGATGAATCGACATCGAGTTGTGCTTGGCAAGACACATCAGAGACACATCCATATCTCGATGCTCGGATTGCCGCCGACCCCTCGAGACCCGTGCCAGGTCTCTGGCATAACATAGACGTGGCTGCAGGACAAACTGAGGTCTAGCTTCGAGTGTTTGTTGACCAAGCATACAAATACGAAGGAAGCCGTGGGAACACAAAGGCGCAAAAAGAAGAAAACACACGACCAAGGCCTAGACACATGGGCATGCAGACGCTCGCTTTGACCGCTCAGCTGGGACTCGATCTCCTCGCCGAGCCATCCAAAGGCGTCGTCGCCCTCGCGAGCTAGCAGCGGTAGCACCTACGCCCGGTGCGGGAAGCTAACAGTAGCCAGGCCCGCCTCTGCATCGACCAAATAAGTACTTCCCACCAAGGAAAGGAAGTACCTCACTGGTGCTGCTTTCCCGCGAGTCGCTCTGAGAGCTGCGCCGGGTCAGGTACGACGGGGCGTGAACAGTAGGCAAGTATGGTTCCTACCGTGCGGGATCTTTCCTGCTTCTCTTGCGTCTGACCCTGCCTGGGCTTGGTGTTTGTCCCTCTCGCCCTGCCCACCACAACGGCCCGCCTAGTGGCTGTCTCGCCGGCATTTCAGCTCAGGGAAGAGGTCTTAAAGACCCCCCTTCTCCTTCGTCGGGTGCTCCTCAGTAGAGGGATGGCTCGAGCCAGGCTGTGTTCTCGCTCTTAGTCCTCTTATATCTGACCTCCATTTGCGGCAGCTATCATTCGAGGCTCGACATCGTCGATAGGTCAAGCGAGGACCTGAGCTCTTGTTGATTCCCTATATCAACGACACCTCACCCACGATCGGCACTGGTAGTCCGCGAGGCATACGGTTAGAGGGCTGCATCATGGCGCCACACCTACAAGCAAGGCAGGAAAGGGCCGATGCCGTCACCGGCATGCATGCCGTCGAGCCTCTCGCTGGTATAGTTTTCAGTGTCATCATCTGCCTCGCTTCTATCACTGTCATCTCGGCATTTCTCAGTGAGTTCTCCCGCAAGACTTGATGGAGTAGGTTTCGTCTAATGGATCAATTCCTGTGTTACAGCCCAAAGATTCCTCGCAATAAAAGTCTGGAAGAGGCTTCCTTTTGTCGTCTGGCGTATGTTTCCTCCCATGGAGTCGTCGCCAGTAAGAGCTTCTCGTCAAACTAACTTGTCGACTATCTTAGTCGTTTTTCTCATCTATATCGACTCGTACCTCTTTGTTTTCGTCACGGGCCTTCTACAATTTGCGTTAGGCGTGAACACGAGCTTCTCCATATGCGATGGGGCTATTCTGCTATGTCTGGTTTGCTATGTTACCACAAAAGTGAGCTCCTCGCCACCTCATCCGTATCATTTTGGGGCAAGACTCTAACCTCTACTTCAGGTCGTAAGTTGAATCTTGTCCGGGAATGGTGACATGGCATTGACCCAGCAACAGTTGATCTATCTCTTCCTAGTAGAGAGAGCTGTAAGTGGCCTGTACCGTATGTTCAACGTGCTCGTACTAACAAAGGGGCCAGCACGTCGTCCGCGGCACCAAGAAGTCACGCTTCAAGTCCAAGATGTATCTAGTCAACTCGTTTGGTATGCTTGGAGTATACGTCGTCATTGCTATCCTGAACTTTATTTTGTACGTATTCTCTCCTATCGCCGAGTCACATCTGTTAACACAACACAGCCGCATCACCCGCCTCGAGAATGGCCTCTGCGTCATTGGCATGCAGAAGGTCTCCATGATTCCCCTCATCTCCTTTGACGCTGTGGTGAACATTTACCTCACTATTCTTTTCCTCATCCCACTGAAGAGTAAGGGCAGTCTATTTGTCTTCCTTCTGTGGCCATTCGCTCACGACCTGCAGATCTCTATAGCTTCAAGCACTTCGCCCGAACCCCCGCCAATGTACGCCTGCGCACTCTCGCTATGCGCACATTCGTTGGTGCGCTCTGCACAACCGTCAGTAGCATTGTGTAAGTACTCTTCCCGATACCAAACCCATACGTAAACTAACACTCGACAGCAATCTCACAGTACTCATGGCTCTCAACGGCGAACCTGGATGGGTTTGTCTTATGTGCTGCAATCTCGACATCCTCTTCTCTGCTATTGTCGTACAGTGGGTTACATCCAAGGATAATGCAGCTTCTTTCTCCTCAACCTCGGACCTTTATGGGAACAATGGCCCAAGCAACAACCCAGAGGGCTCATCAGACCCGGTCCACCGCACGTCTCCAGGCCTTGAGCTCGAATCGAATCTCCATAGGCATTCCAGCCTCAATAAGGGTTCCTTTGGCGCCGACTACAAGTCTCATCACCATCTTGATCTCTCCACACGCCGTCCCTCGTCACAGGACATTGTGCTTGGCGACCCCGGCGCCATGGCCATCGACAGTCCTTACGGCCCCGGCGATGCTGCGTCCAGTGTCGAAGAGGAGTACAAAGGCCGGTCCAGCTCTGGATACCCTTCTGAAATTACGCGAACAACCTCCGGACAGCAGCAGCAGCAGCAGCAACAACAACATCACGGACAAAATGGCGTTGTATTAGTGACGACAACGATCAGCCGTGAGTCAAGGCCTGGCCCGGCCGTTTTCCAGCCAGTGGAGGCCCAGGAGGCAGAGTCTACGAGGGGACCTGGATGGGGAGCGAGGAAGAACTCGGCTTCTGCCGGAGTATTTGAACCGGGCTTGATGTATGGCAAGACGGAAATTTGTGGTGGCAAGCCATGATGTTGGAGACGCAGTCAATCAACGAGGGCTGACCCAAGCGTCTCCTGTCGCCCCTACGTATCTTGACCGGATTACAGAACGGTCAGGTCAGGGGTCGGGAAGGTGTTCGGCCCATAGCGGTGTGTTTGATTATATGCTCTACAGGGTGATCTTGAATATCACAGAAGCGTAGTGAGAGTTGACTGTACTGCCTGGTTGGCCGGCATTCGACTGTAGAAGTGCTCTGACTCTGGCGACGTCTTTCTCGCGACATTTCTCCCACTACGAAGAGTTTCCCATGTGAATTAGTTCACCTCAAGAAGTTGTGAAAATGGTGCGCCCTCAGATCCCCAGCCATCCGCTCTCGCCCTCATCTCTGCCTCCGGCGCCTGAAGTTTAAAACATTCACTAAGACCATTTGCGTTCCAAGCCAAGCAGTCGGGTCGTTAAACCCACGACCTGGGAAGGCGGGACGCCGCCGGAGCCGGAGTCCCGCCCCCCCAGAGCACGCAAGACGTCCCAGCAGGGCGATTCTCCAGACGCCCAGACCGATCTCGCCATGCCCCCCACCGAAGGCACCAGTCTTCATCCGGGCGGGGAGCACCTGGAGTCCCCACGCCATGCCCACTAGCTCACCCGCCCCGACCAGCGAAAATAGCAAAGACAAAGGCGAGGCGAGACGAGGCTGAAAAAAAAAAACACCCAAGTCGGTTGTTGCGCAGACCGGTAGTTGAGACCACAACGAAACAGAAGGCGACAAAGGACAGCGACGAGGGAAAAGCCATGTTTGGGTCCCGAGGAGAATCTGCAGATCCACAAAGTCGCTTTGGTGTGCTGGGGGCTGAAGATCGACGCGGGCCGGCTGGGCAGGGGAGCTTGATCTGCGTGTAATTTCCGTACAAGGCCAGAGGCGAGATTGGACGATCTGGAGATGCACGCGGGTGACCAGGTTCGTGGGATGCGGCTTGTCGTCTTGGCTAACTACCAACTCACTCTCATCGTACGGGCATGGTCCCGTCGTAAGAGCATAGCAAGTCGCACGGCGAAAAGTTTTCACGCAATGGAGACGAGGAGAGATGTTGGGGTTTCTTTGTTGCTTCGTAGCTCGTAAACGAATGTCTATCCTTGTCCGCCCTTGGACCCGTGTTGTACCGTGCCTGTGCCGTACCTATTTGTCCCCTTATGCCCTTTGTGCCGTTTTTGTTCTCTATGTTCCGGTACAAGAAAAAAAAAAAGAAACAGTGTCCTTCCAAAACACCAAAGTTTCGGGTATCGCCTCCAAGATCTTGGGTGGTGTTTCCCAGCCCCTCGAGTATGAACCCTTGTTCATGATAATCATCCAGTGGGAAAAGGAGATGTGATCCAGCGAATGACACCCAACGGACGCAAAAGGTGGAATGTCGAGAAAAAGTGGTTATGTGCAAGAAGTGAAGAGTGTTTGTATCACAGCGAGATACTCGCTACGAACGAGGAGGTTGCACAGCTTAAGAGGAGGCGTAGGCCTTGCCAGCGCCGGAGAGGCCACCGGAGCTGATGAGCTTGCCGTTGCCCTCGGCGACCATGAAGAAGGAGTAGCGTTCGAGCTCCTTGAGGGCGTCGAGCTTGGGGATGTTGGTCTGGATCCAGGAAGAAACGGCGCCGTCGTCCTCGCTGAGAGGAGCAAACTCAGTCAGCCAGACAGGCTTGCCACCGCAGATCTCGGAAGCCTGCTTAATGTGGGTGAAGAGGGTGTCAGCGGCCTCAAGAGGAGAGTACCAGTGGACGACGCAGAAGTCGTACACGCAACCCTTGGCGTCGCAAGCAGCGACCCAGTCCCTCAGCCAGTCGAGGCCCTGGCCGGCAATGTTGCTGTTGGTGACAGCGGGGGAGCCAATCTTGACCTGCTTGCCCAAGGGGTTGACGTGCTTGACGTGGGCGTCGGCGGCCGACGAGGCATCCATGTTGCACTGCGAGGGCATATCGCACTCGTTGAAGGACAGGATGTGGGTAGAACCAGCCTCGATGGAGCTGGCGACGTTCTTCTCCCAGCGCTGGAGGTGAACATCGATGGGCCCCCAGAGCTGGGGAACGTACTCAACACCAGCCTGGGAGAGGCCGTTGTCGCTGGAGTCCCAGTTGTATGCCCAGGGGCAGTTGGTGCACTCATTACCGTTGGTGAAGAAGCTCTTGACAAGGCTGGCGTCGTTGTAAGCGAAGCCACGCTTGCCACCGGAGGTGCCGGTAGAACCAGAGTTGGTCTCCTTCTTGGGAGTGTCCTGGGCGCCTTCCTCCTTGGGGGAAGTCACAGGAGTAGCGACGACGGCAGTCTGGAGAGTAGTGGGGGGCACGACCGGGGCGGGGGGCTCGACGGCGGCGGGGGTCTGGACAACGACGTAGGTCGAGGTGGTGGTCAGGGGGTTCTGGGGAGCCGCATCGTCGGGGCTGGGAGCGGGCTGGCCAGGGCCGGCGGTGACGGTGACCCACTCGGTGACAATCTCAACGTGGGTGTGCGCGTACACAATGTCGCGCTCCTCGTGGGAGTGGCGGTGGGCGTTGAAGGCAACAGCCTCCTTGGCCAGGGCCAGGGAGGCAAGAGCGGTGACGGCCTGCTTGTTGAACATGGCGACGAGAGAAGTCGGTGTCTGGGTTCGTGGGTGTAGTTGAAGGAGGTTGAAGGAGAGGGAAAGGCGAAATGGAGACTTGATATGGCCTGTCTGGGTCTTGTGTGACGTCTTTTCCGAAGGAACAATGTACACCGTCGAGGTGAAGGAGCGTTGTTGCGTTTGCTTTTGTTGTGCTGGTCTATCAAAGACGCAGAAAGGAAAGTGATGTCGAAGCTAGCGACAAGTACAAGGAATGAGCTTGTAGCTGAGGAGGGAACGTCAAGCCGGTGATGTGGGTAGAGAAGGTGTATCGAAAAGCCCGGGGAAAGGGGGACAACGAGGGTTCTTAAAAAGAGTGCTGGAACAGACAAACAATGAATCAAGGGCTAAGGGTCAAGAGTGAATGTGTGGTGAGGTGGGTAGCCCTGACATTCACCATCGAGAGAGGGGACGCCAGGCTGGGCCCGATGGAGTCGTCACGACAGGAGGGTGGGTGGGGTGTGGGCCCCCCTGCAGGGGCCAGACCTTCGCGCCTTCCTTCTCTTTGTGTCCCTTCCAGTTCAGGGCGCCCTGGTTTCCCACTCCCACTGTACCTGCCACGCTCACACCCGATGCAGGTACCACGGCCGGGGGGTCGTTTTGGTGCAGCGACGAGTCAATTGGCAGGAACGACGCGGGCTTTCGGGGAGGCACAAGGTCCACAAACGAGGATATGGTACATAGTACACCTACATATACATCGGCCGCTCGTATCTGCTTGCCCTTGCAGGCTATACATGTACATGTAGCACTGGAGGGATGTATAGTCTGGTCAGTCTATCCAGTCTATCTACCTATAGCCGCTTGCACATGCCTTTCTTCCATGCCCCCTTGACTTCGCACTCGCCCCTCTAGTCGTGCGCTCGCGCAGCCGCTCACAGAGGGCCAGGCGCTACCTGCGACACTCGCGCTGAACGGGCCAGACCTGAGAGCGCTGGGGGACGCTGAGGGCCACGAGGGCCCATGTGGTGACGGAACGCCGGAAACGGCCAAGATCTGGCGGCTCAGGCTGAGCGTGCTTCTCCTTCCGGACGGCTGAACACTGGAACTTTTCCCGTACCGGATGTGCGATGAGCGCCCATCGTCCATCCGACCTGATCGGTTATCGACCATCGCATGGCCAGCCCCGAGCAAGGTGCACCTCCCTGTTCTGGACTGCAACAGGCGATCACCACCGTTCAGGGCAACTCTCAGCACCGCCCCCCTCGGTTCTAGACCTTTTGAGCAGTGGGTCCATTGTCGAGCCCGTCGAGCGAGCGAGCGAGCGATTGAAGAAGTGTGGTGAATGAGAATGACGACGAACGATTGAGCGAACGAGAAAAGAGTGGGAAAAGAGACGACGGGTCGAATCACACGAGTTCAGACGAACAGTCGGCCCATCTCTTTCGTTTTGCCTACGCAGGTCCCTCAGGTACCGACCGACCAGCCTGTGTGTTTGACTGTGTCTGTCCGGCCGTCTCTGGCCGTCCCGTCAGCGAGGAGGCACCCCGAGGCCCCTGCTTTCACCCGCCCCGTGTTCTACGCTAACTGTCCGTTTCACAATCCAGCGCACCGGGCCACGTTGTCGATATCCTCGACCCCTGACTAAACCAAGCCAAGACTGGTCTTCCCCTCGCGCCTTCCCCCATTCCGACTAGCCCCGTTCCTCGATGAAGACCGTGAAACGGCGGGCGGGCAGGAAGCGAAATGAGCACCTGCCGCCCCGGGGGCCCTCCATCCGCTTGGCGGCAGCATCCAACCACTGACTGCCCTGAATGCCCTGAATGCCCTGGCGGCCCTGACTTCTCCTCGCTGAATCACGAACCCTGGCCTCGGCCACACACACACACACACAGAATCGGTCGACAACCACTGCAACCCCTGGCGCTTCGGAGAAAAGAAACAGAAAACGACTCAACGGACCCGCGCGCCAACCCTACTTTGGGCCCATCTCTCTGTCTGCGTGCTGTCTCATGCCCTCGCAAGCCCTCTTTTCGTCCTGTCTAATTTACCAACCTGACGGTTTTCACGATCGCTTGGAGGGGGCCGCCCAAACCTCTCACGATCAAGCTAAGAGGCGTACCAAGTAATTTCCCAGTGCCGTGCCGTGAGACCCTGCCGGCCACCACATTGCCGTCCCGCGGAACCAGCATCAAGGCCCGCGGCCTGCCAGGGCGAACACGAAGGAAGCAATAGGCAAAAGCTTGACCCCGGTCAACCTGCCATCTCGACCTTGGACGATGGAGGTGGATCGGGCTGCGAGCCTCAGGCGACGAGAGAGAACGAGAGCTCCGTTCCCCGACCACCCCCCTCCACCACGATAGGTACGCTAAAAACAAGGCCCAGAGCTTGCTTGCTGCCTTCTTTCGACTCGACGGGGGGGACGATCCGGCTCATGTCGACTCCATTGCCGCCCACTCGGCGTACATGTACGTCGCGGCGAAGCCACCACGCGCGACTCGGTGATGGGGCACGCACAAAATTCCTCCTGTTTACCCCCTCCAATCGCCCTTGTGTTTAGCCGTTCGGCCTTCTCAGCGTCAGGGCTAGCTGGAGGGGCGTGAGTGCGCGCGGGCAGGAGAAGCAAAGCCTCTCCTGGCCACGTCATACGCATTCTTCAGGCCACGGGCTCCTGCCCAAAGGGGAACGCGAGGTTGGATTGATGAAGCAAGCCTGGCTGGACGAAAGGGTTACACTCTACTGCTGGACTTGGTAGTCATGCTGAGTGCTTATTCATTGCGCACAACGCCGTTTCCGGGTTCCTGGCCGGCATCGGGTAGAGAGGTCTGTCTGCCCTTAATCCGTCTCCTCGGCTGAAAGCAAAGTCAGTAGTGACACGACACGTAACCACCAAGTAATTCTCAACCGTGGCAGTTGGGATCGGCAGCATCTAGGCCAACTGCCAAGACATGGCGTTCGAGAGATTTATTCTCACAGGCTCATCCATCACCTGGAAGTCCGTTGGAGAACAATTGGCCGGCTGAAAACCCCAGCGCCTGATCTCCACCAGGACCATACTTCTTCGGAGGCTCGGGCGTGTTGTCACCGTCGGAGGCAGCGGTTTTTTTTCCATGTCAGTCATTCACATGACAGACGTGTAACCGAGCCGGCAAACACACATGATCAGCTAGTTGGCTTAACGTTCGTTTCGACTGCATCCAGCACACACACACACACACACGCATGTGGACATCTGATGATTGACGCCTCCGTCGCAGGAGGCTTGCTTTTTGAATACCAGCCGGTGGCTTGGTTTTCTGTTGGGAGAATGACATGGTAATCTTGCGCTGTTTGCCGGCCAATAGACAGCCACAAGCTAATCCGACAGAAGCACTGTGACCGTGGCAAGCGGTGGTCGTGGTGCTCAACCGCTGGCTCTCTGTCTAGTCTTGTCGTCTATATGACGTGGACGGACTGTACTGGAGCTAGAAGTTGTGACACACGTTGCTTTTGCCCTTGGCCAGCGAAGGCTTTTGCCGTTCCCGGTGAGGCTTTTCTAGTCAGGCACCGTTCCAGTGCTGGCATTGAGTCCATTGTCACCTGATGCCCTGCCCTGGCTAACGTTTCTTTCCGGCCATCCCAAATGTCAGTAATCTGTGGGCCATTTGGAATGTACAACCTGCCCATCTAGGTACATCAAGCATGGGGCTTCGATGCGCCTATTCAGAGAAAGCACTGCTGCAGCTGTCACCAGCTGGCAATGCTTTTGACCAAGAAGGGGGCCTTCAGCCAGCCGGCCAGTCTTACATCAACGGAGGACCTATGTACGGACATTTGGTAAGCTGCCATAGGGACGACATCCGAGTCGACCAAGTATGGCTTAGGCGTCTGGCGCATCACGCACGGCACGGGGCCACTGCCAGCAAACATCTGCGGCACGACGAAACCCGACGCCTGGGTTGGTTGTGACATACAAAACCAGCGGATCCCGGGGACTCGACCTGCGGCCTGCCTACAATGCACCACGTGTTCCGCCGGATGTGGGACGGGTCGCAGCACAATCGCCGACGCTGAACGGGGTAAGCAATAGGCTCGGAAGCCAGGCAGACACGCCCTGTCTTGGAGGGGGACGGCTACATCCAGTCCGTCTCCGACAGACTTTCGAGCGGACAGTGTTCGCTGCGACGACCACGAAGCCTAACCCTGGACAGATCGACGACGGAGCCTCCTTTCTAGTGCGCAGGCCGGCGATAACGACGAGTGTCGCCAGCATGGTGTGGTCATGGTGCAGCTCAGCGCGCGAACGCAGAAGGACGATGGAAACGGCCCAATCACGCCGTGGCACCTCAACTTGGTTCACGAGCGGCGCATCAATGGCCCGTCTCACTGCCGCCATGACAATCAATGATCATCCCTCATACACGTGACGGCCTGTCTCGCTCACGCTGGGAATGAATTGACGTGGGCTTGGCCTCACAAGGCTGAATTGGATCTTCGGGTGATCACGCAGCGGGCCTCAGAATCGAGACGTACAGCATTCTGCGTGCTAGAAGACGAAGCGACTGAGACGCGAGTGGAATCGGATGCTTCTCTCATACCATACTGTCTGTTCCATAACTCGTTCCAGACGCACCAATATGGACTCGACGCAGCCCCAGATGCCGGCACTGCTTCCGATAACGATGGCGGTGCCACCAGATGATTTTGACTACGGCGCGTTCCTCGATGGGGATATAGAATTCGGCATAAGCGACGAATATCTAAACGCCTCCGGCTCCGACCCAGATTCCGCCCTCAATCTGTCTTCATCGTCGGTCGAATTCCGCTCCAGCGACACCACGGTTGTGCCATCCACCCAGAAGAAACTCGAGAGGAGGGGCCACACCAAGAGCCGCAGAGGATGTTTCAACTGCAAGCGCAGACGCATCAAGGTGCCGAGCCCGATCAGGCTACATCAGCCCTTCTCGATCATGACCACACTGACCATTCGCAGTGTCAAGAGACCCATCCAGCCTGCGGTCACTGTCGCAAATCGGGCCTCCAGTGCGAATATCCCAGTCTGCCCCAAATCACGCACCAGCCCCAGCACAAGATACCCATCTTCACCATGGAGGATATGCGCTTCTTCCAGCACTTCCTGCTGCAGTGCTACCCCCATCATCCTCTCGGCAACGAGAACGTCTGGACGCACGAGGTGCCATGTCTTTCGCAGACGGTACGCCAGCAAGACCTTCCTCCTCCACGAAACGCCACAGGCTAACACACCGTAGCATCCCTACCTCATGCATGCCATCCTCGGCCTCGCCGCCTGCGAGCTCAGGAGCCAGGACCCCTCGGTCCTCCCACAAGCCATGGTCCACCGCACAAAGGCCATCCGCGCCATGAAGAAGTCGCTCGCCGGCCTGCCCCGACGCGGCCTGACGCACGAACAGGCCAACGCTCTCATATCCGCCTGCTTCGCCCTGACTTTCCAGTCGGTGCTCCTCGAAGACGGCATGCCCGAGTACATGGCCTTCATCCGCGGCATCGTCGTCGTCGGCATGCAAATGGCCACGCGTCGCATCCGCCCCATCTTCTCCAACATAATGGAAGAGGACGCCAACGCCCTGATGCAGCCCGTCATGGAGAAGCTCGCCCCGCTGCCGCGCGCGTGGGTCGACGGCGCCGTCGCGGGCATCGAGAACCTGGCGCCCCTCTGCGGGGCTCCCGACTCGACGGCGGCCGAGTATCACGCGCGCCTGCTCGACATGGCCGTCACGCTGCGGCGGTCGTCATGGGAGGGCTACCAGTGCATGAAGGCGCACTACGGGTGGTGGATCATGCTGCCGCACGAGCGGTTCCAGCTGGTCGTCGACCGCGGGAGCCAGGTCATGATGCTGCTGGCGGCGCACTGGATCGCCCTCAAGCAGATCATGGCCGAGATTACGCTGCACGAGTATGACGTGCGGCAGAAGGCGCCGGCCGACAGGGATCATACAGAGGAGGGCATGCTGCGCTGGCTGCGACACCTGAACAGGCAGGTTGATGCGGCACATGGGAATTACAACGCGTGGCCTGAGTGGGTGGTTCAGCAGCTGGACCGCGACCTGTCCTTCTTTGGCCAAAGGATGTGATCCTTGCTGGCCCATGGGTTATCTTGTTTACTTTACTGAGCGAGCCTTGCTTTCGTATTGACCATGATCATGTTGACATGCTTTGCTTGTTTGTCTGCTGTGTTTGAATGCCGTCTTCCCGTGAGTCGTGACCATCCACGCATCCAGTGGGAACGTTTTGAGACACTGCAGTGAGGCCCTCTGTCGATCACAGAGCTACTCCAACACCCTTTCGCGCCGTCTGGGAGGCACCGCGTTCGATTGGTTCGTATTCCCCGTATCGTTCCAGAAACACTGCCCCGCCCACACGCGAGCGCCCGATCGACGAAAGCTTGTCTGGCCCGTCAGCCTGTGGGCATGCTGCAAGGCTGGCTGGAGGCTGTGCTGCCGTATCTCGCGTTCACGGTGTTCGGCGGGAATGACCCGGATTCTGCCTTGGCCACCGTCTGTTGACGAGAAGACAGGTTAATCGCATGGCAGATGATGTGTTTCTCAATGGCTCGATCTCAAGATATAAGAGAGAGGCATTCTTCGCGCGGACACGGCAGGTATTGAAAGGATTGAATATCACAGCCAAGACCTGATCGCCAGCACCTGGCAAACCGCAGACAACCACCCGAAAACGTGTATAGAGCCAAGCCGAGGACGACCCATCCGTCACAATGTCCACAGCAACAGGAGCACCCCCGTGCTACACGCCCACGGCGAGGCGACCGTCGACGGCCTCCTCAACCCCCTCCCTCCCAGCCTATTCCTCGCCCGCCATGGCCTGCCGACAGCAGCAGCCCTTCACACCAACGACGACCCTCAAGATCATCAACCCAGGCAAGCCAACCATCTCCCTCCCCGGGCCCCCGGCCCCGCACCCCATCCCGGTCCATGACGCCGCAGCGCCCCCCGGCGCCCCCGCAAAGTACATCTCCCTCCGCGCAAGCCGCCGCTCCGGCACCGCGACCCTCGTCCCGGGCCACGACACGTCAGCCCCGGCCCTCGCAACGACAAGCTACCGCTTCGGGCCCAGACGACCGCCAACCCTGACGTTGCACGGCCACGGCCACGGCCTCCCCCCCGACCCCGACCCCGACCGCCGGGCCCTCTCGTCATCGGAAGCAGCACGCGGCCGCGTCGGACGCGGTCAAGCGGCGGCCGCCACAGCAGCGACGGGCGCGCGCGACTTTGCAACCGAGCTGACGGCCCCCGCGCTCTCGCGGACCACGACCCTCGACAGCCCCCTCGGCCGGTTCCGCTGGCGGTACCCGTCGCGCGCCGAGACGACGCGCGGCGACCACGGCCAGGGTGAGCGCCACGACGGCCGCGCGCGCCTCGTGCTCGAGCGCGTCGTGCCGCCCGCCGCGGGCAAGGGCGGACGGGCTGGCGGGGCGGGGCACATTGTCGGCTGTCTCGTCCGCGGAAGGGGGGCCGCGGCCGGAGAGGGCGGGGACCTGCAGCTCGACCTCGCGGCGGCGGACGAGGCGGTCGCGGAGGCGTTGCTTTCTGCGGGCGGGCACGGCGTGGCAGATGAGAAAGAGCGGGAAAAGGAAAAGATGGCGGCGCGGGACGTGCTCGAGCTTGTGGCTGTCGCGAGCTGTATCGCCATGCTCAAGAGGGAGGTGGACCGGCTGCGACTGAGGCAGGGGCTTGTCCTGGCGGGAGCGGCGGGAGGCTCGTAGACAGGTGTTGTTTCGACTGCATAGCTGCTGTTCTGAGTGGGGATTACAAGAGAACCTAGGTGTCTGGTGATAACTGTGTACCGAGTACGTGGTGAACATTTCACACTCCTCTGGTTTCACTCATAGCAAAGGCCCCAGATTGTGTAAACGCTCGATTTCTGCTATCTCGACGGATCAATCATACACCCAAAGTCACTTACACACAAATCCCTCTCTTATTGACCCAGATCTACTCGATACCGTGGGCTTGTATCGCGCCCTGTCTATCGCAACTCCTCGCTGAACGACTCGGTCGCGTTACGGCCGTTGTCGGAGTCCCACCTCTCGACGGCGCGTCGGTACTGCAGGCACGAAAAGAAGTCAGTCGAGGACAGAGTTAAAGAAAGGCCACGGCCGCAGTGGGGTTGACATACCGCAAAGACAAAGTTTAGGATCAGCGCAATCATCAGCGCCACGCTGATGACCAGCGGCCCGATCACGTTGTCGAAATCCTTACCGCTGCGCTCAATGATCATGCGCCGCCTGACGCCCATCATCCAGTAGCCCCAGCCACCAGCAAACACGGCAATGAGGATGTACATGATGCCCATGACCTCAGCCAGCGTGTTGCGTCCAGCGGCCGAGTACAGGCTGACGGCCAAGCCGCCGAGCAAGATGCAGATGTGCTGCCACTTGAGGAACGTGCGCTCGTTGGCCAGCCATACCTTGGGCTCGATCTTGAGCTCGCCAGTGTTCTTGATCCACTCGCTCGGCTCGACAACACCCTCAGGCAGCGGCCTCTCGCGCTCGTGGCGGGCACGGGAGTACCGCGACAGGGAAAAGCTGGGCAAGACGGCGGACAGCGTGCCGTAGCCGGTCCTTTGATCGCCGTCCTGCTCCTGCCCCTGCTCCGGCTCTTCGCCATGCTCCCGGCCCTCGCTGGGCTCGCCAGCCTCCTCCACGGTGGGCTCTCTCGGCACGGAACGCGCAAGGCTCGCTTCGGCAGCCATGCGGTCGGCGAGGTACGACTGGCCGGCAGGCGAGCTGCGCGACGCCTTGTACGAGCTCACACGCTTGCCGAGGAAGCTGCCGACGGCAACCTCGTCCTCGGCCCGCTGGGAGCGACGCTTCTCCTCGGCCTCAAAGGCCTTCTGGGGATCCTTGCGGATGTCGCCCTCGAGGTCGCTCAGCCAAAAGGGCAAGTTGTTGACGTAGTCCTCAAAGAGGGAGGCAACGCCATGCACAAACTTGGAAAAGCGCGGAGCCGGGTGGACAAGATGGGAACCCATGAGGTCCTCGATCCACGCAGGTCGTTTCTTGCCGAGGTCGCGGAGCTTGATCTCCAGAACGGCGTAGGGGAAGCGCGAGACCTCGCTCTGGTTGATGTCCTTGAAGGGGAACGTCAGGTTGCGGTCGTCAATGTCGAGGCGGTGCCACTGGCTGGGGTCGCGGCACGGACGGTCCCTGTCGAGGGTGTCCTCGCGGATAAAGGCGAGCTCGGTGTCGAGGGAGATGCGCACGCGATCGTCCGAGGGCTTCTGGAAGGCACTGCGGACATAGTTGGCGCGGAGAACGGGCTGCAAGCCCTTCTCCTGGACAAACTTGTCGAGCTCGTCAACCGTCTTGCGGAAGGCTTCGACGTCACTGGCGGCCTGGCTCTGGCGCTTCATCTTCTGGATCGTCTTGTCCATCTTGTACTCGCCGTCGAGGAAGGGCTTGACGTACTTCTCCTTGATGACCATGCGGCGCTCCTCGCTGGAACCGTGATCGCCGACCGTCTTCTGCTCGAGGGTCAAGTCGGGCTTGGACGACAGCTGCCCGTACCAGCGGACGCGGAACGAGGAGGCCTCGGCCTGGCGGTCGACCTTGTTGGAGTAGAGCTCAAACTTGTTGTTGTCGAAGTAGAGGGAGGTGATGGTGGGGTCGTTGGCGACATCGAGACCCTTGGAAGACTGCTCGCTGTAGACGAGGGCGGGCAGGCGACGCAGGATATACGTCTTGACCTCGAGCAGGTTGTCGGGGTGGACCCAGAACTTGTGTGCCGTGTAGCGCTCGCCGTTGTGCGTCTCGCCCTGCTCCTCGAGCTCGCTGGGCAGTTGGATGTCGGCGGCTTCGTCCTCGAGCTGCTGGCGCAGAGCGTAGTACAGGATGGACAGCTTGTTGAGGAGCGGGGAGTAGCCCTGCTCCGAGTTGAAGGGCCGGCGCGACAGGCTCAGCTGCATCATGGGGCGGACCTTGTAGCGGCCGCCGCGCTTGCGGTCATGCTTCTTGACAATCTTGAGGAAGGCAGTGTAGTTGATGTTGCTGTACTTCTTCAGCTCGCCAATCTCGTTGGTGATGCGGTCGAGCTCGGCCTCGAGTCCCTTGAGTTGCTGCTTCTGTTGGGCCGTCAGAGCTTGGCGCTTGGCCTTGTCGTCGGCGCTGCGATCGGTGCTGTCCTCGGCGGGCACCATGTCCTTGAGCTTCTCAAAGGCGGCATCGACACGCTCCCGCAGACCCTCCACAGTCTTCTCCTGGAACTCGGCGACCTTTTCGAGTTGGGTGTTGAAGATCTCGTCGCAGAAGCGGCTCTCGTCCTCCTCGGTCCAGGGCACATCCTCATCCTCGTACTTGTCCTCGCGCAGGAGCGACTTGAGCTTGGCGTAGTCGATGTACTTGTCCTTCCATGGCGCGTAGACGGACTCGCGCAGCGTCTTGCCGAAACGCATGGTAGCGGTGCCCGGCAGCGGGTGTCACTCGGGTTGGAAAGAGGGTAGGCGGCACGTCGTCGGGGGGTGTTTGTATCGTGATGTCAATTCGGGGGGGGGAGGGCTGATATGGCGTTGAATGACGTAAAATCAAAAGTCTGCAGTCAATTGACCACTGGCAATTGGGGCAGCACTCGCCGTCGTGCAGGATGCTGCGCGGGAGTGTGAAGGCAGAGAGCAGCAGCGAGAATGTGAGGTGGGAGAGGAGAGAGTTCGTCGACGCAGTCCGGGCCAGACAAAGTCAAGGCCAAGGCAAGGATGAACGACGGGGCAGAGAGCAGAAAGAGCTCCCTTGTGATGCTGCCCCACCTGCCGTCGCCCAGGGCGTCCAGGGCGTCCAGGCAAAAGGGCAAAAGGTCCCAGTCGCCTGAAATCAATCACCCACCGAAAGAGCGAGCCATTGCCCTATCAGCACTCTCGATTGCGAGCACGTGTGTCGTGCCTCGTCCCTGCCTCCGTCCGACCTGTTGAGCAAAGCTGCAACGTGCTTTCCTGCCATGAGATCCTCTGCGCACAACATGGGCAAGCCACGGCAGTCAATGATGGATGCCTCGATGAAAATGACGCACATCTGATGGAGTGCCGATATCCGCACGGAGGCGCTGTACTCTGCATGCATCTCGATGTGCACTGCATCCCCTGGACATGTCACCTATGCACCCAGCCAGCAATGAAGAAAGAAGTGATGCATCGGCCATGCCAACATACAGCCACAGATTGCCCATGACATGTATGGCCTCGCATTCCATGACATACATGCATACAGTGAGCGAGCATACCTAGGTAGGAGGGACATCATCACTAATGAAGAGGCATTATCAGAAATGAATCATGGACTCTACTTAATGATAATGTATATGAGAAGCATATCATCTCATGCTCTCATAGATGTAATGAACTATACTATATCTAGATGCATAGCATTACGTAGAATACCATTCAATGACCTAAACTTACAATGCATGGTACCTTGGATGCAATGATGGCCTATGTATTTCTGCTTAACATAGATGATAGGCTCTGATTAATGCTCACAGATGATCAATCGATAGAATGACTAGATTCATTTACATTGAACTGATAAACATTACGAGCTACCCAAACTACTGTACTCCAGCCTCATGGTATCATTCCTACGATTTCTCCTCATTCATCAGTCAATCTGCTCAGGCCAAAGCCGCAGCCTGCTTGGCGCGGGCGCTGAAGATCTCCTGCGGCGTGTGCTTGACGATACCGCCAGTCACGGGCAGGGCCGTGTACTGCTCGAGGTACAGATCAATCTCGCGAGCCGCCTGCCGGCCCTCGTTGATGCCCCACACAATGAGCGACTGGCCTCTGCGGCAGTCACCCGCCGCGAAGACGCCCTCCAGGTTGGTGGCGTACTTGCCCGGCGCCGTTTTGACGTTCTTGCGGGCGTCCTTCTCAATGTCGTCGCCGAGGATGCGGGCCTCGGGGCCGAGGAAACCCATCGACAGCAGCACGAGGTCCGCCGGGAAGAACTGGCGCGACTCCTCGAGCTTCTTCATGTCCCAACCGCCCGACGGCGACTTGGTCCACTCGACGCGGATGGTGTTGATGCCCTTGACGCGGCCGCTGCCGTCGTCGACAAACTCCTCCGACATGATGCAGTACTCGCGCGGGTCCTTGCCCGTGTGCTGCTTGACCTCGGTGTGGCCGTAGTCCACACGGTAGATGCGAGGCCACTGAGGCCACGGGTTGTCGTTGCCGCGCTGCGGGGGCGGCTGCGGCAGCAGCTCAAAGTTGGTGACCGACTTGGCTCCGTGGCGGACCGAGGTACCAATGCAGTCGTTGCCCGTGTCACCACCGCCAATGACGATGACGTCCTTGTCCTTGGCCGAGATGTACGAGCCGTCGGCGAGCTCCGAGTCGAGCAGCGACTTGGTGTTCTTGTGCAGGAACTCCATAGCAAAGTGGATGCCCTCCAGCTCGCGACCCTTGATGGGCAGGTCACGCGCCACGGTCGCACCAGTCGCGATGATGACAGCGTCATTCTGAGCGCGAAGGTCAGCCAGGCTGGGCTGGCCCTCCTCGCCAATGGCAACGCCGCACTTGTACAGCACACCTTCGGCGGCCATGAAATCGGTGCGGCGCTTGACAATACGCTTGTCAAGCTTCATGTTGGGAATGCCGTACATCAGGAGGCCACCAGGGCGGTCCGCGCGCTCGTACACCGTCACCAGGTGACCGGCGCGGTTGAGCTGGTCGGCAGCGGCGAGACCAGCGGGGCCGGAGCCGATGATGGCGATCTTCTTGCCGGTGCGGACCTTGGGAGGACGGGGAACCATCCAGCCCATATCGAAGCCACGGTCGATAATGGCGCACTCGATCGACTTGATGCCAACGGGATCCTCGTTGATGCCAAGGACACAGGCACCCTCGCAAGGAGCAGGGCAGACACGGCCGGTAAACTCGGGGAAGTTGTTGGTCATCAGGAGACGGTTGAGGGCGTCTTGCCACTGGTTCTGGAAGACCAGCTCGTTCCACTTGGGAATGATGTTGGAGATGGGGCAACCAGTCTCCGACTGGCAGAAAGGAACACCGCAGTCCATGCAACGAGCCGACTGGTACTTGAGCTCGTCCTCGTTGAGGCGGCTGGAAAGCTCGGCCCAGTCCTTGGTGCGCGTCTTGGCGCTGCGGTACTTCTCCGAACGACGCTGGTACTTCATGAAACCCTTTGTCTTGTCCAGAACGAGGGCGCGCTTCTTCTCGGCAGCGCTGTCGCCAATGGTCTCTTCGATATCTTGGAGCTTGGCGGCCTTCTCCTCCTTCTTCTTGTGCTGAACACCGGACACAATGGGCAGGTTGTACTCGTTGGCCTTGGCCTCGGCAGCCTTGGCAGCCTCCTCCTCAAGGACACGCTTGTAGTCGACAGGAAGAACCTTGACAAAGCGAGGGAGGGCACGGTTGAAGTCGACGAGGATGCGAGCGGCAAGCTCGGAGCCAGTGTAGTGGTGGTGATCCTCGATGAGGCCGCGCAGGTAGGCGATCTCAGTGGGCTCCTCGACCGGGCCGGCTTCCACCATCTCCATGTTGAGCTTGGAGTGGAAGTCGTTGTTGATGTCGAGGACGTAGGCGATGCCACCAGACATGCCGGCGGCGAAGTTGCGGCCAGTGCTGCCAAGAATGATGACACGGCCACCAGTCATGTACTCGCAGCCGTGGTCACCGACACCCTCGACAATAGCGGTAGCTCCGGAGTTGCGGACGGCAAAACGCTCGGCAGCAACACCGCGGAAGAAGCAGCTACCACTGGTGGCACCGTAGAGGCAGGTGTTACCAATGATGATGTTCTCCTCGGCCTTGAAGACGGCGTTGCGGGGAGGGTACACGATCAGACGGCCACCGGACAGGCCCTTTCCGACATAATCGTTCGAGTCACCCTCGAGCTCAAGAGTGACACCGGGAGCCAGGAAGGCACCGAACGACTGACCACCGGAACCCTTGATGTTGACGTGCACGGTATCCAGGGGAAGACCGGCCTCGCCATAGCGCTTGGAGATGTGGTACGACAGCGACGTGCCCATGGCACGGTCGGTGTTGATAATGTCGCACTCAATCCTCGAGGGAAGACCCTTGTCAAGCGTGAGTTCGGCCTCGGAGATGAGCTTGTTGTCAAGGCGGACGTGGAGCTTGTGGTCCTGCTTGCGGACGTTGAAGGTGGCGACACCGGGCCTCAGCTTGTGGGCCGGGGTAAGCAACAGGGACAGGTCAATGTTCTGCGTCTTGCTGTTGCGAAGGTCGTCGCGGACCTTGAGGACCTCGGCGTGGCCAACCATCTCGTTGATGGTACGGAAGCCAAGGCGGGCCATGATAGCACGCAGCTCGTTGGCCAGGTAGTAGAAAAAGTTGATCACATGCTCGGGCGTACCGGTGAACTTCTTGCGCAACTCAGGATCTTGAGTAGCAATACCTACAGGGCACGTATTGAGGTGGCATTTACGCATCATAATGCAGCCCATGGCGATCAGAGGAGCTGTCGCGAAGCCCCATTCTTCCGCACCGAGTAGACAGGCGATGGCGATGTCGCGGCCGGTCCTCAGTTGACCGTCGGTCTGGACGACGACACGGCCACGGAGGTCGTTAAGGACTAGCGTCTGGTGGGTCTCGGCAAGACCAAGCTCCCAGGGCAGACCGGCGTATTTGATACCGGTCCAGCGCGAGGCACCAGTACCACCGTCGTGGCCCGAAATGAGGACATGGTCGGCCTTGGCCTTGGCGACACCGGACGCCACGATGCCGACGCCGACCTCGGACACCAGCTTGACGGAGACGCGCGAGCGAGGAGCAGAGCACTTAAGATCGTAAATGAGCTGCTTCAGATCCTCAATGGAGTAAATGTCGTGGTGGGGCGGGGGCGAGATGAGACCGACACCGGGGGTGGAGTGACGAGTGCGGGCAATGGACTTGGAAACCTTGTGGCCAGGCAGCTCACCACCTTCACCAGGCTTGGCACCCTGGGCCATCTTGATCTGGAGCTCATCCGAGTCGGCGAGGTAGTTGGAGGTGACACCGAAACGTCCGGAAGCAATCTGCTTAATGGCAGAGCGCATGGTGTCTCCGTTGGCCATGCGCTGCGATCGCTCAGGATCCTCACCACCCTCTCCAGTGTTGGACTTGCCACCGAGCCTGTTCATGGCGACGGCCAACGTGGAGTGAGACTCCATGGAGATGGAGCCGTAAGACATGGCACCCGTGCAAAAGCGGCGAACAATCTCCGTCCACGGCTCGACTTGGTCGATGGGGACGGCGTCACGCTCCTCGAACTTGAAGTCGAGAAGACCACGCAGAGTGCAGTTCTTGATTTGCTCGTACTCCGAGAGCGAGTAGGCTTCGTACGACTTGTCATTCTTGGTTCGAACAGCGTCTTGGATGTTGGCGATCGAGGTAGGGTCGTTGATGTGGGCCTCACCACCGTCACGCCAGTGGTACTCGCCCGACTCGGGAAGTCCGGTGACGCCGACCGTGTAGCGGGAGGGGAAGCCCCTCTCGTGGAAACGGAAGGCATCCTCGGCGATGTACTCGAACTTGGAGCCCTGAATACGAGACGCAGTGCCCTTGAAGCAGCGCTCGACGATGGAGTCATCAAGACCAAGAATCTCGAAGATCTGAGCACCCTTGTAACTGGCGAGGGTAGAGATGCCCATCTTGCTCATAACCTTGAGGATACCGCCATCGCAGGAGTGCTTGTAGTTGTGGATCAGGGTGTCATCCGTGAGCTTCTTCTTGATGAGCTTCTCGCGGTTGAGCTTGAGAATGCACTCCATGGCGAGGTACGGGTTGATCGCGTCGGCGCCGTACCCAAGGAGCACACACATGTGGTGAACCTCACGGGCCTCAGCCGTCTCGAGGACGATGGCGGCGTGCGCACGCCACTTGTTGCTCACAAGGTGGTGGTGGACCATGCCGGAAGCCAGGAGAGCGGAGACGGGCACGCGCTCAGCAGAGGTGGCCCTGTCGGACAAGATAATGATGCGGTCCTTGGCCTCGATAGCAGCAGTGGCCTCATCACAGATGAAGTCGAGATGACGCAGGTATCCCTCGACGCCCTCGGACTTGGGGAAGGTGAGGTCAATGGTCTTGACAGTCCACTCAGAGTACTTCGTCGACATGTTCTTGATAGCGTTGAACTCGGGAATCGAGAGGATGGGGCTGGGAAGCAGCAGACGGCCGGTCTGGGAGGCATCCATCTCGAGGAGGTTGCCCTGAGGACCAACGTAGCACTCCAGAGACATGACGACCGACTCACGGATAGGGTCAATGGGAGGGTTGGTGACCTGGGCGAAGAGCTGGCGGAAGTACTCGTACAGCAAACGAGGCGCCTGAGACAAACAAGCCAGAGGGGCATCGTTACCCATGGAGCCAAGGGCCTCCTTCTCATCGGAGGCCATGGGCGCCAGCAGGAGGCTCACCTGTTCGTGGGTGAAGCCGAAAGCCAGAAGGAGCGGGTCCTGCTGAAGCAGGGTGTCGTCGGGCTTGGCAGCGAGGTCGAAAGAGCTTTCGAGCTTCTCCTGAACCTTGGACATGGTCAGGAGGTTGTTGTCGAGCCACGAACGGAAGTCGTGACGGCTGGAAACAGCCTCCTTGAGCTCCTTGTCATCGATGATGCGGCCAGCGACGGTGTCGACGAGCAGCATTTTACCAGGCTGGAGACGGCCCTTCTGGATGACGGTCTCAGGCTCGACGGGAATGGTGCCGACTTCAGACGCGCAAATGATGCGGTCGTCATCCATGACGTAGAAACGGCAAGGGCGAAGACCGTTACGGTCGAGGTTGGCACCGCAGAAACGACCGTCGGCAAAGGTGAACAGAGCGGGACCATCCCAGGGCTCCATCTGACACGCAGCCCACTCGTAGAACGCGGCCTTGGTGGCGTCCATCTGCGTGTTGCCCTGCCAAGCCTCGGGGACCATCAGCATGACGGCCTCGGGCAGCGACAGCACGCCGTTGATGGTGAGCAGCTCGAGAACGTTGTCAAAGGCTGCCGAGTCGGAACCGCCGTCCTCAACAATGGGGTACAGCTTCTCGAGCTCGTCCTTGAAGACGTCGGACTGCATGACGCCCTCTCGAGCCCTCATCCAGTTCTTATTGCCACGAAGGGTGTTGATTTCACCATTGTGGGCGGCCCATCGAAGAGGCTGAGCACGATCCCACGAGGGGAACGTGTTGGTGGAGAAACGAGAGTGCACCAGGGCAAAGTGACCCTCGTAGTCGGCGTTGACCAGGTCGTGGTAGTATTGGTAGACCTGGACGGGCGCCAGCTGTCCCTTGTAAACAATGTTCTTGTTCGACAGGGAGCAGAGGTAGAACCAGTTGTGCAGGCCAATGGTGTGGGTGGCACGCTTCCTCAGAATGAAGAGCTGGATCTCGAAGTGGCGGTCGTCAAACTTCTCGGGATCGGTGATTTCGGGCTCGACGCCAGTGCCGTAGGCAGAGGCAAGGACGACAAAGGGCTGAAGGATGATAGGCTCGCGGGACCTGGCAGCGGGACCGAGTAGGGTCGAGTCCACGGGAGGCCTTCGCCATCCCAGGACTCGCAGACCCAACGATTCGGCAATGTCTTCCAACTGCCTCTTGGACTCCTGAAGAGTCTCCTCGTCGGGCTTAAAGAACAGGTTTCCCACGGCGTACTGGCCCAGAGGAGGCAGCTTAATGTTCTCCTCGCGCTCAAAGTTCTTGATGAAGAACTTGTGAGGGATGGACGTCATGACGCCAGCGCCATCACCGTCTCGCACATCAGAACCCACAGCACCTCTGTGGGTCATGTTGCAGAGCAGGTTGCGCGCATCGCTGACAATCTTGTGGCTAGGCTTGCCCTTGATGTGGCTGGAGAGCCGTTAGTGAAAATTCAGGCACAGTGGCATGCAAAAATAGGGGACGTACCAAGCAAAGCCCACACCGCAAGCATCTTTCTCAAGGTCTGGGTCATACAGACCTCTGTTGAATCAGGGTTAGCGACGGCGCCGAGTGGCGGGGACGGCAGACGCGACATACTGCTTCACCGGCAGAGCACCTGCCCAGGAGGTGTTGCCCTCCTCCTGGTACTCATAGGGAGTGTATTGCTCTTTTTCAGCGTCGAAAGAAGTTTGTTGGTCGTTGAAATCCTCAGGCAGGCCCATGCTAGGCGACAACCGTCGGCTCGTTATGGGAGTGGGATTCGGAATGAGAGAGCGTAGGAGGTATGGGATCGTCGAGAGGAGCAGAGCGAGCTGCACGTGCGGCGGATCTAGAGGGAAGAATAATGCCGCGGTCAGTAGGAGGTCTCGTGGGTAAAGTGCAATGCAATGTGTGAAATTGTGTATGAGAACAAGTGAAGACAAGATGAGATCCAAGCGAGGCGGTGCGAAGTGTTGGCTTTTCGTTTGTCGGCGGCGGGGTACGTTACGGGCCGGAAACGGACGGGGCAATCCATTTCAGACTATGTGATGAGAGAGAGACACGGCCGTCCCTTTCCTCATTTGAGTTTGAAGTGGCTGACGTTCCGGCAGGCGGGTCAAGAACGAGAAGGTTGCCATGGAGAAAGTCTTAAGAAGCTTGCGTCTTGCATGGGGCATGTGTGCGACAAGCACGCTGCATTGGCAAGCGACCGGATTGTTTTCATGCCCGCATCACCACGAGTGCTTGCTCGGCAACGCATGATCAATGCCTGATGCCCACAGCTCACATTTCGTCTCAAATCTTGTCTCGTCGGGAGCAGATTCACGGCGATAATGAAAGCGTAGCATGCAAGTGCGGTGCGGCGCGCAGCATAGTGTTGTACTGTAGTGCGTGGGTGCTATAGTGTCTAGCAGCCATGCGTAGCGCCAAGTGGAGCGAGGGTGGGAGCAGCGCCAATGGCTGCACGCGGAATGACAAGCAGATGCAGCATTGATAGGCGAACAGGCCATCGTCGCCCGCCCAGCCAGCAAGCAGCATCAACGCCTCCACACCGACGTGGTCGAGTTGGCTGGCGAAATGGAGCCCTGGCGAGCGCGGCTCCTTATCTGAGTCGCGGCAGACTGACATCACCGCGACCAGGGGGGCCGGGCGACCATGAACCTGCGCGCTCTCGCTCATATCGTCGCGCTTCCACCAAAGAACAGCACATAGCGTGCATACATGTGCTGGTGCTGCACAATCGCTTTCGCCAGTCCCGCTGGTGTGCGGATGGAGTACAGGCCGTCGATCAACGTCGTCCCTTTCTCCTGTCGATTCTTCGGCGAAGCCCAACGAATGATTGCGCCTGCTCCCACACCCATTGCCGCCAGCCGCGGGTCGGGTCGGTTCCCTGGCATCGAACTGACATCCTCAAATGCTGGGTCGTTTTCGTTCATTCGGCTCTTCGCACGTCGTCCGTGGCGCTCGTGGTTTCATCTTGTCGTAGGCGGAGGCGGAGTGCAAGTTGTAGGAAAGGCGGGGAGTGAGTGGCATGGGCGCTGACACGACTTACCTTACCAAGTAGCGGGTTCTGTACCGTGATGTACTTCGTAGCGTTGAAGGGGTATCGAATGTTCGCTAGGACAGCGGTGTCAGGAGGCTCAGTCGGCGGATAGGTGGATCTATCGTAGGAGCACCGCGTGAGAGGAATGAAAAGGCAAGAGAAGGGGGAAAAGAGGGTGGTCAGGCAGAAGGGGGTGATGGGCTCGTTTTTATGGCGAGAGGGGGGTTGATCTTCCTCACACTTTTGTGCCTTGGGTCCGGGGGGGGAGGGGTCGAGGATGGGCAAAGGTGGGCGGAGGGCAACAGGCGATGGTCAAGACACTGGACTAACCTGGGGGGGGCTAACAGGGACAAGTCACTCCGAGATGGGGGAAAGCCCTGGGAGCGGCGTCGGGATGGAGGTTAAATTTCTGGGTAGCCTTGGGAATTTCCGCCGCGGCCACCACTCGCCGTCGAGCCGATGACGGATGCTTGGTGCAAGAAAGTGCAGGGCAGACAGGGAACTGAGGAAGGGCCAGTACCGGGGCCAAGTCCTTGATGCACTAGCTACGGTTGCAAGTTCCAGCTAAGCACGTTGAAGATCGGAAGAGCGGTTC